TCCATAATTTGTATTTTTCATCTTCCAGCCAACGTTCATTGAAACGACAACCTCCCGGCATGGTGCAGTTGTGGTTTCATGGGGGCGGAGTCACACATGGAAATAGACTGGCAGATCGCAGTCACACATAAGCGAGCAGGTTTCATTTCCGGGCTCTCCAACATTTTATTTCTCCATTTAATAAACACACGTTTCAGTTAGATAGGTATTTGTTGCGAAAGAAATAAGTACAATTTCAAGCATTTCATCCAAAATATAAGCACTTTTCAAACCTTGAAAACACAACGTCAAAATTCAATCATTTTCAAGGATTTCCAGCACCCGTACGAACCCTGACTATAATATAATATAAATGTTGGTATTGTAGGTGTATTAAAAATGTCTAGATGTATTACGTATACTGTAGGTGTGTGTAAATAATGAGGAAATAAACATCAACTCTAATGTGTTGGACAAGGATGAGAGGAGACCCTGCAGCAGAGCTGAACACCACATCCATTGGAGAGGTGGAAAGAGAGAAAAACAGGAAATAAAGCATTTTGTTCTTCAGCTGTGCACCTGTGCTCCTGTGGAGGAGCTACAGGGCTGGCACACCAACATACATAACCCAACACATAAAAGGCCTCTGCTAGTTATACACCATGCTGCTTGATTCCACAATCCCAGCACCATGAGAGAAGATACAACTTCTGATTTCACTGCATTGAACTAATATATTCAAGAAGAGAAACTAATATGGATCAGGGGCTTTGTGGTTGCATGTTAATTGAGAAACTAAGACTTAACTCTGGCCTAAAAGTTTAGGTCACTGATTATGGTTAATGCTGACTGGCTGGTGATAAGGCATTCACCACTGATTTGTGGAGAGAAGAAACATTTTAGTGATATTTTGGTGGTAATTTTGGGGGGAATCATCTAAATCGTGCCATTCCTCTGGTGTTTGACTGAAGATAACTGTTTTGATTCATTGTGAGAATGATCTAATCCTCATCTTTATTTTTATTTCAGGTGCAGGATATTTCCTCGTCCCTTCATCATTGTTAGTGTTCTCATTATCGCTGTCATTGGGATTTTAGTCATTCTGGTAAGCTTTAATCTTTCAAATTACCTGGGTATATACAAATTGTCAAAAGATTGACGGGTATGAGGAAAAAGAAATTTCTTCTAAACCTCAGAAATGTGCAAATCTTCCTCCTGAAAACAAAGTAAGATTTTAGGCAAAACTAAGAGCTTCTTTATCCTGTAATTTAACACTTCTTTTTTTGTCCAGATTAGCAAATTCAAATCATATTTTCTTTAATTTCAGCATAATGGTCCTAGTATTTATAAATAACCAGGCCCATCAGTGCCCCAAGCAACTACTACAGAGATGAGAAAAGAAAAAAATGTGTTTCAGTTGTTTATTATGTCATTCTTAGATATAAATTGTGTGTTTTGTTCAGCTAAAATCCTGTTTCTAAACTCGGTGGTAAACTTGTGTTTAACCTGTGTTTAAGCTGTTTACCTCAGAGTTGCTGTTAAATTGAGGCTGCTTAGGATTTTTTACCTTTAAGGGAGAAATATGATTCACATTATTTAACAGAATGATATTTTTAATGTGTAACCCTGCACAGTGGATAGCAGGGATGAGCGTTATGGAAAATTGAGGGATTTTTATACAGAGCCTCATATTCTGTATCTCTGAACAAAGAAAGTGGCTTAAATAAATGTGCTTTACTTTTTGCATGTGGGCAAAATGAAATGGATGCTAAAGAGAGTCCCTTGAATGAAACAAAATAACTGATATGATGTTTATCAATAGAAATTATTGGTGTTTATTTTACAGCATTTGGTGTTTAAGAAAATTACACAAGGATAAATTCCTTCCACAGTTTCTAGAACATATAAAGAGTTTATCTGTTAATATAATTCCATCAAAAATGTATTATGTTAATAATGAACAGTTTTTAAGAGAAGTAACTTTAACCATTTAATCAAGATCCAATCCAAACTAAGACAATGAAATTGGTTCCATGTAGTTTATTTCTCACAAATTTCTATCTTTTCAAGAAACTATTGTTAAAGTTTAACATTCAAAGTTGTAAAATATTATTTGTTAATCATGGTATGTTTTCCTTTCTGTCACACATTAGCTACACTTTTCCATTTTCACATAAATTGATCATTAGAGGAGCAAAAGATGTTGGATTACACAGAATTATGCTCAGTTCCTCAGTCTGAGGTTCAGTCCAGTATATATTTACTGTTTTAACTAAAACTTGTTTCTCCAGTTCTATGTACCACTACTGCAGGGACTTTTATTTTGAAATTTTGACATTAAGTTTACTGGAGTCTGTTTATACCAAAGTTATGTGACTAATAGTCACTGAACAACAGAGAAACTGCTGTATGTTAGTCTTTGATATGGTTTTGTGTCAATTTGGAAAATATTCAATTATCACAAAATGCTGTTTCTTTTTTACATGCAAAACGTTTTTATTATTTTTCATCTGCATTTTCATTGTTTCATTGTTCCTCCTTAAAGCTTTATTTTCTATGAGATCCTGAATAGTTTTTTTCTATGTTTCTACGTAGGAACAAACTGTCATTTAATCCAATTTGATAAGTGACATGATGCTAAAAGTAAAAACTGATTTTCATGGCTTTTTTCAGAGCCTTAACTTCAGGTTGAGGTTTAAAAGAAACTAGTCGCCATAACTATAGGCCTGTTTCATAAAGCTGTGTTAAAAGAACTGTGCCACAGAAAGGTAGCTTATAAAAAAAACAGCATGAATATGAACTACTTCTAGAACAAAACCTGAGAAAAGCTCCCAGTTTGAATGTATTTCATTCTAATTTCTGCTCTGCTTTTAACCTTTCTAGCTTTATATTATTTTAGTCTCACTCTTGTTCTGTTTGCTTGTTAACTGATTTTGTTATGGACTGCTTTAACTGAACTAATGTGTCTCTGTGTTACATTGAAGGGGTGTGAATACTTTGTAGTGGCACTGTGTGTATATTTAGACCAAGCTGCAAAGGAGTCACATTATCAAGTTTTAATGATGTTACTTGTAAAGTCTGTTATTTGAATATTGATCTGTTAAAGATTTTATTAGTCACAAGATACATTATAGTTTATTTGTAATTTGTTAACTAGTGGTTAACAGGTGTAGAAAAGTATTCTAGTCATGTTTCTCTATTAAATCTAACTCAACATTTAAAGAGTAGATCTAGTTTAACAGTTCTGGCCTCTTTCCAACTCATCGATGGTCACAGTTGTGTGTAGGGCTGCAACTAAAGATTATTTTGCAAATCGATTAATCTGTCAAATATTTTTTCGATCAATTGGTTAATAATCGGATAGCAGAGGGTTCCTTAAAGAGGTTTTTTGCTAAATTAAACCAGTGAAACTAAAACTTTTCCACTTGAGGAGTTCTGGCTAGAGCATATTGAAAGAAGAAAGTTTTTATTGTCTTAAATGTGAAATGTTTACACATTTTTTTTTTTTTTACAATTTCAGTATAATTACTGCTCTAAGTGGGTTGCTGTGTCTGCTAAAGGCACGGCTTTATTTCAACAATGGATTAATTGCCATTAATCCGATTAATTGTTTCAGCCTTAGTCATGTTACTCAGCAGCCATCATTGTCTTTTAATCATTAAAACCTATAGATTACCTTTCCTACAGGAAACCGTAGGACGTCAAGAGGAAGAGCGCATCCAGTGAATTAGAGGAGGAGGATGCCTTCAAACAGCAGCTGAATTTTAAACTCTTTTGCTTTTACTATGATTTACTCATTAGCATGACGCAAGTCTTTATTGTAATAGTTTTTATTTCATAAAAAAAAAATTGACATCAATACATTTTTTAAAGACATGTTTGAATCAAAAACAGAAGTTCAATATGAATACTGTTTTAATGTATTGTAATTATATTTTGCTTTTTTAATTGAAAGTATTGTTTTACTTATCTTCTTCCCACATGGTAACACGAACAGTATTATGTCTGCTCTAATGTGTGTAAGATAAATGTAACATTGCAGATATGTGCCATTGGCTGAAGTTTATTAAAATTCCTAGTGTGACATATGATCCATTTTAAATTAATTATCATCTCAAGTCTGAAACATCCGTGCTTTCTAGATAAAATGTATAGTGGATAAAATTCTTTCAGGTCTGTGTTCTGGGGCAAACATCTTTTTCATTGTCATTACTTACCTACTTTTATCAATAATCCCTCTGCAAAAAATTGATATTTACAAGTACTAATATCTACATAAATTCAATATTTAATAAGTTTTTATTAAAATAGTAATTTATGATTTAACTGAAGACTCCTAGATGACTTGCAGAGAAACATCCTTTTTTCTCTTTACACCATGTGAAACAAAATTTAGTTCTGAAAAGTAGATAAATTACATACTTCGTCTTTAATGTTAGTATATTGATGAGCATAATTAACCTAAGTGTTTTTGTTGTGAAGTTATTGTTAATACATGAAAAATTAAAATGCTTTGAATATTCCACTTTAGAGTGTTGCTGCTGCCACCATCTGTATTAGAGGGGGAAAAATGGTAGGGGTGGCCACAGGGGTGGCAATTGATTGGCTAAACCTGGCCCCCCACCTTGCTCAGCCACTGTTTTCTTCTATCAGGAATACATTGCTATGCATTAGTATAAGCCCGCTCAGACTTTACACAGATATACAAAGAAAAAGTATAATGTTTAACCAATGAAAATGAAATTGGCCTTCATCTGACTGAAAGACCCGTCTGTTCATTTGCACTGTATATCCTTTCCTTACATTAATTGTATGTTTCTGCCTGCTTTTGTTTGCGTTTTACTTTGCAGCTGATATAACTGAATTTTCAAAGCATGGTACAATAAAGGATATTACCCTACTACTCTGAGATATTTATTCTTTATCATTGGAAATAATTTAGAAACAAATTTCAGAAAACATAAGCCTTGGTATGAACAGTCAATTCAAGACAAATTTTCTTATTTTTTCAGTATTTGATTCTGCTCTTAGTTACTTTGTGGAATCATGTTTAGCTTTACACTAACTGATAGAGAAGCAGTGAACTATGGAAGTGAGAAGTGAAACACTCAATGTATTGATGAAATACAAAGCTTGGCTAAACAGGAAACAAGCAGGAGGTATTTTTGCCTTTACTTCCTTCACAGTTATCAGAATTTAGGGTGGCTCATTTCCTCTTTTTCTTGTTTCCAGTGTGTGAGCATTTAGAAAGTGGCCACATCTGAAGAGCTTACACTAATGATAATAATTTCATTTCTTTAGATAATGTATTTCTGTATATCTGTACTTGTTCTGTAGTTCATCAGTTGATTTTGGAGCAGTTGATCTCAACATTTTCTTAGAAAGTCTTTCCAAAAAATTTAAAAGATATTTTTATTTTTAATTAAAAAAACAAAAGCAAGTTGTCGATACATTTAATAAACTACTAACTTATAAACCTCCAGATTTTCTGAACCAAAAAGTCTTGCCTTTCTTATCCAGACTGAAAATGTATAAAAAAAATGGAAGATGATTATAAACGAACCTGTGATATTAATATAGCATTAAGAGAACTTGTCAAAGCTGTTAAACGCTTATCGTTAACCAAAGATCCTGTCCAAGATGGACGTGTAACTTTTACAAACTTTTTGGGTAGAAACAAAAATACCATTGTTCCTTGCATTCATAGCAATTTTAAATAACTATATTTTACCTCCTACAATTATACTAGGTGTTATTCTATCCATCTCCAAAACAGGTAAAGACCAAAGACTTATTGAGAACAGAAGGCATATCACACTCAGAAGTTCAGTTTAAAAGTTGTTAAACTACATATTTACCATGTGCCTACAAACTGGAATCTCATATTGTTGCAGAATCCCAATCTGCCTTCTCAAAAGGAAGATCAGTCCACAACTATATTAGAACAGTTATGGATTCAATCGAATATAGAGACTTAATCAACAATGAAGGCTTTATTCTCTATAAGACTTTGATTCCCTAGAACACCATTTTTTGTTTTCAGTAATTAAATATTTAGGCTTTGGAGAAGAAGTTGTTGATTAATTTAGAGACTTGTATCAGAACATAAATGGTTGTTTAAAACTACCTAAAGGTATGACAGATTTAACATTGTCGATATTCTTCAAGGATATTCAAATTCCCCATATCTGTTCGTTTGAATTACAGAAATGTTAGCGATTTACCTAAAAACTGTACCCGAATTAAACATTAGCCAGGTAGTAGATAACACTACCCAAATTCCAACAGAAACAGATCGACGAACTAGCTAGGATTGTGGGTGTAGTGTGTGGCGTGTTTCTCTTCCAGTTCCGGAGGTTATTCAACATTCAACAACAATGGGAACTGGACAAAAGCGTACTTTCATTCAGATGCACCTGATTGATCTGGAACTAGAAGAAATGTTGGCGTAGGCAGAGGCGAAAATAGCGTCGTGGAAGATGGTCTGTACGCCCTTTGAATGTCCCTCGGAGAGCAACTGGGGAATTTACCACACTTGTGCTACTGATGATAGATGACAAGGAAATGTATTTCAAGTACTTCAAGAGGTCCGTGTGTCGGTTTGACGAGATTGTTCGCTGTCTACAACCCCTCGTCCACCGCCAAACGACACACAGTTGACCCACGAGCGTTCCTGAAAGACTGGCCATCACCCTGCATATTTTAGCTTCGGGTGCAAACCAACAGACTGTCGCACAGAGCTAAAAACTAGCACCCTCCGCAGTGTCTGGGATGGTGTCCAAGGTGTGCCAGGCGCTGTGGACGGCACTACAGCCAGAGTTTCTGCCATTACCCACACCAGCCATGGGGGAAAACATCGCGGGGGACTACTAAAGAATGTGGAACTTCCCAAATTGTATTGTAAGTATCGATGGCAAACAAGTCACCATGAAGGCCCCCCCACGATCAGGGTGCAATTACTTCAACTACAAGGGTGCCCACTCCATTGTGTTGTTGGCGATGTGCGAAGCAAGATATCACTTCACAATGGTGGATGTTGGAGCCTACGAATGTGAGAGTGATGGTGGGGTGTTCAAGGAGAGTATTTTGGGGCCCTTGCTCCTCGACCACAAGCTAAATCAAAATCAGAATCAGACATACTTTAAAAATCCCAGAGGGAAATTACAGTTTCAGTACAACCGTTCGTCACAATACATCACATACATCAGGGTGGGGGGGCCTGAGAGGGGGAGGGGGGAACGGATTAACTGAGGCCAAGCTGCCGGGTTTCCACCGGTTAACTGGCTGCCCAGGTCCAGGCGGTTACCTAGCACTGCCATTGTCTCTGTGGAAAGATAGGAGCCACATTGGGGAAGAGAGGGAAAAAACATATTTCACACTTTTACAGGATACAGTTTGATATATGTAAAAACCTCTGCACAAGAAAAGCACATGTAAACACAAGACAGACATTTAAGCAGAGGATCACATCGGAGGCTTAGTCACATGAAGTCAATCTGACATATTAAGACATTAGTTGTGTGTGTATGATGAGCGCATTAAATTTGTCCGTGAGCGCTGACCACAGGCAATGTCCTTGATAAGATGGAAGTTTATCAACAGTCACTGAGTGCATCCACAGGGGGGGGGTCTTCTTTGTCCTTTCGCCAAAACATCTAGGGGGGATTAGATAAAGGGGGTAGGTCGAATGCAGAATAACACTTATGTTTTGAGAGCAGGTAGCACAGGAATTTCCTACAGCCTTGAGTCTTTGTCTTGCTGGCACTTTCGTGGCGAAATCCAATATTCCAAATGTGTTGGGCTTTTCGGCCTTGAAGCGAGCATGCACATCCAATATGTTATCCCATCTCACCTTTGAGTTCAACAACGGCAGCCAGCCTGCGTTCAATTGCACCCAGCATATGACTCAGCTCCCGATCTTGCTCGTTCACAGCCTTTGGGAGGGCGTCAACAACTGCAGGCAGCTTGATCAGTGCCCACAATTGCTGCGGAAATCCTCTGAAATTGAAGATACATCAGGTATCCTCCAAATCCAAACAGGAAAAATCCGAGTATCATAAAACCAAAAATCCAAATATCTTTGATATCCTCCAATGACAACGTTGTGAAACACACCATCCTCCACGCTTTCCAGGAGTCCATGGTGTATCCCATGAAGTAAGCCCCAGCAGGACAGGACGGGTCCCCTTTTCCCTGTCTTCCAGTTGAATAAATTTGATCAATTTTTTTTTGAGTTCGGGTTGTATGAAGAGAGAGCTCAGAAAAGGACAAAACACAGCAAAGCAGGAACAAGCAGGGAGGTGCAGGATAAGCAGGAAAATGCAACCGCCTCCTTCGAAAATCAGAACGCTGACTAAACCTGCCCTCACCAGCTGACCTTCCCGGGACTTTGGTGAAGCCACCCCATGTTGTTGTTGGTGACGCTGCTTTCCCCCTCTACTGCATCCTCATGCGACCATTCCAAGGTATGTTTTTGATTTACCAGTCATGTAGTTGCTTCAAATAAAAGCATATCCTACATGTACTGATATATATATATATATATATATATATATATATATATATATATATA